TAAGTTAAAAGCACCTTTTAACCAGTCTATGGTAATAATGTTTACAGGCAGTGAAAAATCAAGCTTTTCATTACAAATATCAAGTTATAAAAACTTCTACCCATCAATCATATGTCCTTCCCTAAATATCTTCTGGAAAAATCACAGCAGGAGAGGAGAAAATGAGACTGTAAGGAGTGGGTACAAATTTTGCAAAAGAATACCAGAAAATAACAAAAACATGACACATTAATTCATTCCCTAAAGATAACACTGCTAAAAACCATTTTTCTTTTGTAATAAGACGAAATCTAAATGCTACCCAACTACAAAACAGTTCAAATGGAGGCTGGGAATTTAGCTTAGTGGGGCCACTGCCTGCCTTGCAAGTGCAAGGTCCTGAATTTGATCCCCAGCACAAAAAAAAAAAATTTAGCCAGGGATTTGGCTCAGTGGTACCAAGCCTGCCTCATAAGTGCAGGGTCCTGAGTTCAAACCCTAGTACCAAAAAAAAACCAGTTCAAATGCTCTTATCATAGAAGGTATCAAGATTATACAAAACTGTAGATTTTTTTTAGAAGCCTTCAATTTTGTGTTGTTTCCAGCAAGGAAAAAACATTATATAATAATACACATTTCTAAGATTCAATACAAGCAGTATAGTGGGTAGGATCTCTGAGGAACAAACTCAAGGTAGAAAAACATTCTACAATCTAGAATCATCCCTGAGTAATTTAGTATTCTATTCTTACTGAATAAAAATAAAACTTCATAAACCTGGCCAGGGATTTAGCTCAGTGATGCTGCGCCTGCCTTGCAAGCTCAAGGTCCTGAGTTCGATCACCAGTACAAAAAAGAAAAAAAAAAAATTTCATAAACCTGACAAAGGCCTAAGAATAATGTACAACAGGATAACTGCCAACAATACTAGAAAATATGTAAGAATCCTAGTTTTTGTGTTTTGTTTTGTAGGTGCTAGAGACTGGACTTAGGGCCTTGCACATGCTAAGCATGCAATCTGAGTTACACCCTCCCAGCAGAACCTTAGACATTTAAATATACTTTATAAACTAAGACAGTGAGGCCTACAGTGTTTCCATGCCATGTGACGCATCAGAGGGCAAACATCAATGTGCACCCAATACCCTCAGAAACCCTCAGTTACACACAAGAGGGTTAGTAACCTGTTATGTCAAAATAATTATTTCCTACTTCCCAAATATCCCCTCCATTTCCTCACCTTTTTTCCTCTCTATCTGGAATGTTCTCCCAATCACCACCTTCAGAAATCCTACCAGTCAGTCCTTTAAGGCTCATTCCAAAGGCAACTTCCTCCACTGTTCAGCTTTCCTCAATTATGCCAGCTAGAAAAAACATATTCTAAAGTCCCGTAGTGAACTTGCTCTGCCATATTTAAAATCTGCCATTTATACTGGGTTTTTTCTCCTCTACTAAACTATAAACACCTCTACAGCAATGACCATATCAATCTTCCTCCCCCCACAATCCTACAGATAATCAAGTATTATACTCTGCACACAGGAGGTATCAATAAATGTATACAAAATAAAAGAGTTCAGTTAAGTCTTAATTATCTTAATATTAATCACCATAAAATGTTTTTTCTAAAGTAACGATATTAAAAGAAAAAATATATAATATATATATAATATATAGCACTAACCCTTGGTGGCCCAATAATCATGCCTGTCCACCTTGTAAGTGTCATATCTTCATCATCTTCAAGGCCCCAGCTAACCGTACCATCGCCTACTCCTTTTTGTCCTTCTTCAAGTTCTTCCAACAAGCGAAAATTACGAGGAACTTTAACTCCTATACAAAAGAATATCAATGTAAATGTACAAAGCTCATAATTATAAGAGCTACACACATTTAAATTCAGCATTTTCCAGATTGATCTTTATACATTATTTCCCCAAAACACAAAATTTCCCTTAAAAAGCTTTCTGCCCCAGAAAATGCTGAGTCTAATAACCTCTCAAAATGAAAATGTTACAGAAAGCACCATATCAATCATTAACAGCAATACAGAACATGTACAAAAATTCCTACTTAATTTTATACTGTCATCAATTACAAGAAAATCATCATAAAATGAACATTTTCCCTACCTAAAATACCACAAACTCTGCATCAAATCAACAGGCATGACCAGAAAGTTCATATAAATTCTAAAGATCTTCAGTGAGAATTGTGTTCCATCTTTAAAAATGTACCAAAAGTTAAAGAGTTTTCTAGAATACTGGAGTGGCTCTGCTCGTGGCCCACATTCTTCCTCTTTCCATTTAGTTTCTGTCGCTAATCAATTGGGTGCTCCCCTGCAAGGTCAGCACCATCATTCAACTGTCACATGGGGAGTTTCTATATTTGATCTGTGAACAAATCTTATATTCCTAGTTTCATAGGACATTCCCTTCACCTTCTGCCTCAACCTAGTAAAATGTTCACCATCCACTAAACCTTCTCACACTTCCACGTCACATGTTTCTACTGTTTAGACCTCATCACTCAAGGTATTCCTAAAACCTTAACATAGAAATCTCTCAGTCTATAATCTCCTATATTTCTAGTTTTCATGCCCTCTTTCTCAATGAACCTGATCTTTCCCATCATTCTGACCTCCAGTCCTTGGAATCCAACCACGTATCTTCCAATTTTCCACAATCTTTCCTAGAACTACTGACAAGGACCCTACCAAGAGAGGTCTGCCATGTGCTCAACAGCATCTAATATGTCACATCACCAAACCCTATTATCACACATTCAGTTAAAAATATGAACATGCTCTTGCACTCATGTTCTTGTGCACATGCTTTCTCATTTACACATAAAATCTCAAGGTAGAAGGAAAAAAATGACATCTGCTTAAAAGCAATTACATCACTTTGTGTAGCATCTCTCTCCCCATGAAACCAAAACATTTCTTTTACTTCCCACTTCATAGTAATCCTTCTGGACACGTAATGAAAAATATACACTTTAAAATAAAACAAACACTAGCCACTTTATGTACATGTGCTTTGTAAAACCGACTGAAAATCATAGGCCACAGAAATAAGGAGTGTTATAAATCACAGTAACAAGTGTTAAACGTTTAGCATATATTAGGTGATGTTTTAAATAAGTCATCCCATTTAATCCTGAAAGCACCTGAAACTAAAGAACTCATGTGACCTTCCCAAGGTCACACAGCTCAGGGGCAAGTCTAGTATAAAAGCCGTTTCCAGACCAAAGCTTCCCTTTTTACCAATGAGCTGCACAGCACCACAAGCTGCATAGGCAGTACGTGCTAGTAACACAAGCACACAGATTCTAGGAATCAAACTGCCACAGTCCAAGTCCAGGTCTGCAGCCCACCCCTGACCTGTAACTCTGACAACCTTTTCTCAATTGTAAAAGTCAGATAACAACAGTTCCTACCTCAAATGAATCATTGTGGAACTTAAAAGTAATCTACCTTAAACAAATGCTGACTTATCGTTTTAGGATCCTTATTAAATAGAATGACATAAAACTTCTATTTACCTCTAAGTTGTTGACAATAATAGCTCCTTATAAATTCCTGAAGGGTGGTCCCTGGAAGTTTATCTTAAGGTCTAAATTTCTACTTATGTAACACTGAGACAACTACTTTTCTTATTTTTTGATAGCTGTAGAGTCATTAACTATTGCTACTAAACTGCTCTCTCTGAAGTAATCCTAACCAATCCTGATTACCCTGGCCATTATGAAGTCATTCCACCAAAAACTCTAAAGTTGAATTGAATTTTGTATAACCAATTTGGTCAGGTAACCATTATGAGCATCTAAAACTACAAGGAAAACAAAATAAAATTAGTTTCCTTAAGTGACAAACCTACTTACTGTTATACTTTTCACCATCTCTCTATATAGAATTTTGGAAAAATGATGCAAAATTAACAGACCCACTACTGGCTGGCCATGCTAACATTTAAGGATTACAGTTGCTATGATGATTTTGTTATTTTAGACTCAGCCCAAAATATACAGTGAGCTATGTTTTCAATTCAGGGCTTGAACACTTGGGTCCTATTTCATCTTACTAATGCCTGTAAAGAGGAAAAAAGCCACAAGGTGGGGATATTGCATCACAAAAGTTACAGTGAAAGGTCTACGTTCTGGGTCTCAAGGCAATAAAAAGGTTATTAGTCAACATATCAAATCAAGAATTGAATTCAGGCTTCTGAATACTATTCATATTCAAATCTCCTAGTTAGTACATCACAATGAACTTCCACTCCAGAGAGATTAAGGCCAAAAATAGCACCAGGCATGGTGATGCATGCCTGTAATCCCTGTATTTTGGAAGGCTGCACCAGAACAATCAATAGTCTGAGCCCAGCATGGGCAATTTAGCACCTTTTTGAGACCCCAACTCAAAATTAAAAGCAAAAGGGCCAAAAATATAGTTCAGTACAAGGGCCCTGAGTTCAATCCCCAGTGCCCCCCACACACACACACACGTACAAGAAACAGGGATTTACCTTCTAGTTTTACAGTGCTTAAAGTATTAATAGAAACATACAAAAGCTCTGTGGTAATTCTAAATTCTCTGAAGTTTAGAACTCAAATATTTTGATTTTAAAACAAAAAACAGAGGAAACACTTGCCTAGATACTAATTCATCAGATAAATGATTTAAGATAATGCAGAATTCGTGATGGAATCAAGACTAATTTTTTAAAAAAAAGGGCTGGGGATTTAGCTCAGTGGCTTCGCAAGCGGAAGGTCCTGAGTTCAATTCCCGGTACCAAAAAAAAAAAAAAAAGAGCCCCAAAGTAGACATGTATGAAAATGTTATATTTAGTAGAAGCAGCATTAAATCAAATGCAACCTTGTTACCAGAAAAATAAATCATTATTTTGCCTTAAAAGACACTAATGGGAAAACTGACAGAATATTAGCAGATCCCACAAATAAGTTCATCAATGTTAATTTCCTGATATTAATAATTATACTGTTGTAATATAAAATGTTCTTGCTTTCAATAAATACACAATGAAGTATTTAGGGCTCAAAAGGCATATTTCTGTTATCTTGAATATTTCAAAAATTAAAATCATGTGTTTGTTTTAGGGGAAAGGGTGAGAACATCCAAGTGCATGCAAAAAATGTTAAATATTAACACTTGATGAATCTGGGTGAAGGCACTGGTAATTCTTTGTAGTATTTATTTAACTTTTCTATAAATCTGAAGGTTTTTTTTTTAATGGGAAAGGTTAACGATGTTAGAACATTTTATCAATATGGAGAAGTAAAATTAGTGGCCTCTCTCTCACAGTACGTAAGAACCAATTCCAGCCAGACATGGTGGTGCATGCCTGTAATCCCAGCACTCTGGGAGGCTGAGGCAGGAGGATCACTGAGAGTTAAAGGCCAGACTGGAATACATGGCAAGACCTGTCTCAAACTCTTAAAAAGAAAAAAGATTCAATTCTAAGCAAATTAAATGTATAAATGTGAAGAGTAAACCAGACTTTAATAATAGATATCCTTATTACTTTAGGATGTATGAATGGATTTCTTACAACAAAAAAGAATAAACCAAAAGGCAGAGAAGCTTGACTAAAATATAAAACTGAAATTCAAAGACAAATGAAAACAAAGGTGAAAGACTGAAAGATGTAAAAGACAAAATGCCAGTATCAAAGTACAGAAAGAATTCCTCCTTTTAAAAAAAGGCAAAGACAAAATTTGAGAAAAATGGACATATATTTAGAAAAAGGTTTACAGCAGAAGAAACAGGAATAATCAATAAACATCTAAAAATATGTCCAACCTCTCCAGTAGTCATTGAAACATAAACCCATAATGATTTGTCTAACAATTCCCAGTTGGGACAAAGATGTACAGAACAGAAAAGCTCAATGGCTGCCAAGATTAGAATAGACTGGTACAACTCTGGTGAGCCAACTGATAATGTTTATGGTGATCCAAGTATAGGCCTGAAAAAAACAAGCAAATGCTCCCAGGAAGGCAAGAACAAAAATGTTAACTTAGCCCTTTAAATAGGAACAATTTAGAAACAGCTTGCACAACATGGCACATAACAGTACACTACTCTGCTGCAATTAAAATGAAGGACTAGAACTTCTAGTATCAGTCAAGACTACAATTTTTAAAACCTATTATTTAATGGGTAGAGTTTCAATTTTGCATGATGAAAAAGCTCTAGAGCAATGATGGCAAACATTTTAGAACTTTCAATGATACAAACAGCCTGCTGTGGCATGCATGCCATAGGTCCACCACAACTGTTCTAGAGACTGGTTGCACAATAATGTGAATATTTGTAATACTACTGAACTGTACAGTTTTAAATGGGTGTAATGGTAAATGTTACGTGTATTATGCAATTAAAAATTTAAAAATTAACTTTATACTTCTTATAGGTACATACATATATAGCAAATGTATAAATATGTTTGCAATAAAAATCTTCAAACGGTATTAAAAAAGCAGAATAGTGATCACCTCTGGGTGAAGAGAAAAGAACTAGGCCTTGGAAAGAAAAAGAGACTTCAAATATGTGTAATATTTAATTTCTTTAAAAGACCTAAGACAAGAATAATTTAGAATTTGAAAAGGCCAAAGTGGGTATATTCAACATATTCTTCTGATGTTTCTGATATGAAATATTATCAGTAAATAAAAACATGCAACTATAAGAACTATGAGCTATTACACACCCATCAACCTAAATACAATGTTGGTAGAACTACGGGAAATATATTTACATATCATTAGTGGCACTAAAAATCATACTGAAAAGATAATTTGACAAAATATAA